GATCATGTGACCTTGGGACGCTGCAACTGTCATAAGTCCATGCCAGTTGCCGAGCCTCCGAATTTCAATCATGTGACCACGGGGATGCTGGAACGGTTGTAAGTGTGAAAAACATCGTGAGTCGCTTTTTTTCAGTGTCCGTTGTAACTTTGAACCGTCACTAAAGGTAAATTACAAGTGGAGGGCTACCAGGCCAGATTAGGAGAAGGAACAGGGCGGTTTATGCTGACCATAATTTCTGTCGCAAGTGGAAGTGGAAATTATTTTCGCAGACGCATTGGCACCGCCTGGTTGTATTTTAAGAAAGGTATATTTCTGCTTCCTTTCTAACCCGAATTTATCCTTCAGCTGGGTTTATCCAGGGCTGGAGGAAGAGAAAAACACCTATTATATTCCTTTCTGAGTCATCCCTTGGTTTGTGCATTTTTGACCTGCACAATTTCCTTCCCTCGCCTGCCAGCGTGCACAAAGATGTTGAAGGAGAAGGCTTGGACCGCGGGCGTCATGCCCCTGTCAGAGTCTGAATCCAAGGAGGAAGACAAACAGCAGACAGGGAGGGGGTGTGTGGCTCCGTTGGCTGAGGAGGAAACTGGGGAAGGGCAAAGTCCATCTGGGCAGAGGAGGGAAGAGGTAGAACAAGGAAGAGAGAATTCAGAGGAAGACCCAGGCCCACCCCCTCTTCATCCTAGGGCACATAGGGAGGAACGGAGAAGAGAGCAACATGGGTTGCATGGATTACGGGGGAGGAAAAGGCCCTGATTCCCTTCATTAGCCGCAGCTGGGAATGAGAGTTTAAAAGAGATGCAGGCTGAGTGCGGCAGCTGCTTGGAGCAAACGTGGTTTATCTGTGTTCCCTGGCGTCTTCCTAACCAAGTTGAGTTATTGCCGTGCCTTCGCGTCTGGAATTCCTTCTCTTGCCCTGCCGAACTAATTACTTCATTTTGCCTTGATTGGACTTATAGTTACAGTTTTTGTTGACCATGTTTTGGACTCGATGTTTCTGCAGCCAAAGGCTATTTGCCTGGGAGAGTTTTTCTCCAGCCCAGAAGGTAACCTGGACATTGGGGGCAAAGTTGGAGCTAATAAAGGGACTCCTACTGATTATCTGTCTGTGTTTGTTGCCTTTGTGCCACGCTACTCTGGGTCATCGCAGGGATGCCATCGTTTGCCGCAAATATAACCGGTGGGAAATGACAACCTCGGTGTGGCCAAGCAAGGACCGCCGCTTCCATGCGCCCATCTCCGAAAAGGTCTCTTAAGTTTAGCTGATTATCCTCGGGAATACTTTCTTCACTTCTCCATGCAATTATAAGTCAATTTATTCCTACAAAGCTGGGAGCAGATGTGGGGGTGTAACTGGGACACAGCGAGTACCCCAAATGTCTGCGGCCAAAGATGGAAGGGTAGGATTGGGGTTTCTTCTTACTGAACATGCCTTTTTTCCTTCATTCGTTCCTTCATGACCTCTTTGTTCGGGAAGCAGTTTAGACTAACAGAGCCGGAAGGGACCTTGGAAGGTCTTCTAGTCCAACCCCCAACTCAGACAGGAAACCCGACCCCACTTCAGACAAATGATTCTCCAGTCCCTTCTTTAAAACCTCCAGTGTTGGGAGCCTTCTGGAGGCAAGCTGTTCCACTCGTTAAAAGAATTACAGGATAATACTCGGAAGGGATCTTGAGGTCATCTAGTCCAACCCCCGTGCTCAAGCAGGAGACCTTAGACCATTCCAGACGAGTGGCTAGTCCTGTCTCTTCTTAAAAGTCTCCACTTCTGGCATGCGTGGCATAGGCTCGCCAACATGGTTATAGACCTTTCTCGCCACAGCTGTTAAAGCAAATCACAGCAGTTGTTAAGTCAGTAGCACGGTTGTTAAGTGAATCGGGTTTCCCCCATGGACTTTGCCAGTCAGAAGGTCGTAAAAGGGGATCAACTGACCCCGGGACACTGCCACCATCGTAAATAGCAGTCTTCCAATATTTGAGGGGCTGCCACAAAGAAGGGGGGGGTCTCAACTTATTACACCTGACGGCAGGAAAGGAAGCAATGAATGGAGATTAATTAAGGAGCGAAGCAACCTGGAACTAAGAACAGTGAGGACAATTAACCAACGGAACTGCTTGCTACCAGAAGTTGTGGGTGCTCCATCCCCGGAGTTTTTAAGAAGAGACTGGACAGCCAAATGTCTGAAATGATATAGGGTCTCCTACATTAGCAGGGGGCTGGGCTAGAAGACCTTCAGGGTCCCTTCCAGCTCGATTCCGATTCTTATTCACCCTTATCTTCCTTTGAAAACAGCCTCCCTGAATAGAATATTCAGGAGATAAATTGAATGGACCAGAAGACAATACACAGCCTTGGTTGGCAACCAAGAGCCAAATTAAAATATTTATTTATTGTTCGTTTATAAACAGTTTGAATGTCGGTCCCTCTTTATTTCTACAATTCTGGACAGTTAACCTTAAGTTAGGATTTAACAATAAAATTCCTCTTTTTTAAAAAAAAAATAGGCACGATAGCATTAATACAATGCAACTGGGGTCAAAAGGATATTTGCTTTTGTCTACAGATATAATCGTGCAGCTGAGCCGGCATAATATTTTTTTGACCCATTGCCAGAGGGTTTTTAAAGCTTTTCAGAATGTCAAGGAATCATCTAGATCTCGTGAGAGACGACAGAGCCGTGATGGTGAACCTATGGCACACGTGCCACAGGTGGCTCGCAGAGCCATTTGTGCCGGCATGCGAGCCACAGGCCAACCTACCTCACTGTGCGTGCGCGTGCCTCCCAGCTGATTTTCAGCCTGTTTGAGGCCTTTTTCGGCCTCCCAGAGGCTTGAGGAAGGGATGAAGCGGGCCTATTTTTCGGCCTCCAGAGGCTGCAGAGGCTTTCATAAAGCTTCTGTGAGGCTGAAAATCAGCTGGGAGGCGCAGTGCAGGTAAGGGGATTGCGCACGCATGCCCGGGGGCCGTCGGGGGGGCACGCATTGCCTTCTGGGTGCTGGCATGCAAGCGCGCGCGCACACAGTTTTTGGCACAGGAGCCAAGAAAGGTTAGCTACCACTATGATAGAGGATGATCTGCTGTCCTATAGGGGCTTCTGTGACAGAAAAGGTACACTCCCTAAGTGCCATTTTATGGTATTGCGTTAGAAGAGACCCCCGGTGT